CCCATAACTTGGTCAAATGAACTCGATATTCGATATGCCATACTTTGTTATCTGCACTAAAATATATAATTTTCAAGGTAGTGAAAAATATGACCGTTTTTATGTCATTGATTTTTATTTTGCGAAGGTTTACTGAAATGGGCCTTCTTTCCATTTTTAAAAGCACATAACTTGGTCAAATAAACTCGGATTTCGATATGGCATACCTTCATGGGCTTGTGGAATGACTATGTTGTTATCTGCTTTAAAATATATAGCTTTAAAGGTAGTAAAAAATATGACCGTTTTTATGTCATTGGTTTTAATTTTGCGAAGGTTTACTGAAATGGGCCGTCTTTCCATCTTAAAAAGCCCATAACTTGGTCAAATGAACTCGGATTTCGATATGGCATACCTTAATGGGCATGTAGAATGATTATACTGTTATCCGCACTTAAACATTTAACTTTAAAGGTAGTACAAAATATACCCGTTTTTAGGTTTACTGAAATGGGCCTTCTTTCCATGATATGTATGATTTTTTTCAAATCTGTATTAAAATATATAACTTTAAAGGTAGTACAAAATATGACCGTTTTTATGTCATTGGTTTTAATTTTGCGAAGGTTTACTGAAATGGGCCGCCTTTCCATCTTAAAAAGCCCATAACTTGGTCAAATGAACTCGGATTTCGATATGGCATACCTTAATGGGCTTGTAGAATGATTATACTGTTATCCGCACTTAAACATTTAACTTTAAAGGTAGTACAAAATATACCCGTTTTTAGGTTTACTGAAATGGGCCTTCTTTCCATGATATGTATGATTTTTTTCAAATCTGTATTAAAATATATAACTTTAAAGGTAGTACAAAATATTACCGTTTTTATGTCATTGATTTTAATTTTGCGAAGGTTTACTGAAATGGGCCTTCTTTCCATTTTTAAAGGACCATAACTTGGTCAAATGAACTCGGAATTTTATATTGCATACCTTTTTGGGCTTGTGGTATGATTTTTTTCTAATCTGTATTAAATATATAACTTTAAAGGTAGTAAAAAATATGACGTTTTTATGTCATTGATTTTAATTTTGCGAAGGTTTACTGAAATGGGCCTTCTTTCCATCTTTAAAAGCCCATATCTTGGTCAAATGAACTCGGACTTTGATATCGCATACCGTTTTGGGCTTGTGGTAGGATTTTTTTCTAATCTGTTTTAAAATATATAGCTTTAAAGGAAGTACAAAATATGACCGTTTTTATGTCATTGATTTTTATTTTGCGAGGGTTTACAGAAATGGGCCTTCCTTTCATCATTAAAAGCCCATAACTTGGTCAAAAGGACTCGGATTTCGCTATGGCACACGGTTATGGGTTTGTGGAATGATTATGTGGTTATCTGCATTAAGATATATAAATAATTTAAAAAATATGACCGTTTTCATGTCATTGATTTTTATTTTGCGAGGGTTTACTGAAATGGGCCTTCTTTCCATTTTTAAAAGTCCATAACTTGGTTAAATGAACTCGGACTTTGATATCGCATACCGTTTTGGGCTTGTGGTAGGATTTTTTTCTAGTCTGTTTTAAAATATATAGCTTTAAAGGTAGTAAAAAATATGACCGTTTTTATGTCATTGATTTTTATTTTGCGAGGGTTTACAGAAATGGGCCTTCCTTTCATCATTAAAAGCCCATAACTTGGTCAAAAGGACTCGGATTTCGCTATGGCACACGGTTATGGGTTTGTGGAATGATTATGTGGTTATCTGCATTAAGATATATAAATAATTTAAAAAATATGACCGTTTTCATGTCATTGATTTTTATTTTGCGAGGGTTTACTGAAATGGGCCTTCTTTCCATTTTTAAAAGCCCATAACTTGGTTAAATGAACTCGGACTTTGATATCGCATACCGTTTCGGGCTTGTGGTATGGTTTTTTCTAATCTGTATTAAAATATATAGCTTTAAAGGTAGTAAAAAATATGACCGTTTTTATGTCATTGATTTTTATTTTGCGAGGGTTTACAGAAATGGGCCTTCCTTTCATCATTAAAAGCCCATAACTTGGTCAAAAGGACTCGGATTTCGCTATGGCACACGTTTATGGGTTTGTGGAATGATTATGTTGTTATCTGCATTAAGATATATAAGTAATATAAAAAATATGACCGTTTTTATGTTATTGATTTTTATTTTGCGAGGGTTTCAGAAATGGGAATTCTTTCCATCTTTAAAAGCCCATAACTTTGTCAAAAGGACTCGGATTTCGATATGGCATACCTTTATGGGCTTGTGGAATGATTATGTTGTCTGCTTTAAAAGATATAGCTTTAAAGGCAGTACAAAATATTACCGTTTTTATGTTATTGATTATAATTTTGCGAAGGTTTACAGAATTGGGCCTTCTTTCCATCTTTAAAAGCCCATAGCTTGGTTAAAGGGACTCGGATTTCGATATGGCATACCTTTATATGCTTGTGGAATGATTATACTGCTATCCGCACTTAAAACTTTAACTTTAAAGTTTTTTTAAAATATGACCGTTTCATGTCATTGATTTTAATGTTGCGAAGGTTTACTGAAATGAGCCTTCTTTCCATCTTTAAAAGCCCGTAACTTATTCAAATGAACTCGGATATCGATATGGCATACCTTTATGGGCTAATGAAATGATTATGTTGTTATCTGCTGTAAAATATATAACTTTAAAGGTAGTAAAAAATATAACCGTTTTTATGTCATTTATTATACCCGTTACTCGTAGAGTAAAAGGGTATACTAGATTCGTCGGAAAGTATGTAACAGGCAGAAGGAAGCGTTTCCGACCCCATAAATTATATATATTCTTGATCAGGATCACTAGCCGAGTCGATCTAGCCATGTCCGTCTGTCCGTCTGTCTGTCCGTCCGGATGAACGCTGAGATCTCGGAAACTATGGGAGCTAGGCTATTGAGATTTGGCGTGCAGATTCCTGAGCTTCTTACGCAGCGCAAGTTTGTGTCAGCAATGTGCCACGCCCACTCTTACGCCCACAATCCGCCCAAAACTGTGGCTCCTACAGTTTTGATGCTAGAATAAAAATTTTAACATAAGTGTATTCTTCTCATCAATACCTATCGAGTGACCCGAAAAAAATTGCCAAGCCCACTCTAACGCCCACAAACCGCCCAAACCTGTGACGGCCACAGTTTTCATGCTAGATAAAAAATTTTAACTGAAATGTATTGGTCTCGTCAATACCTATCGATTGATCCAAAAAAATGTTGCCACGCCCACTCTAACGCCCATAACGCTTAAATCTGTCTGCCGCCGTTAGGTGGCGTATTTAAATCTCGATTTTCTGCTTGCATATCTCCATTTCCCTTTGGTCCCTTTAACTGAGTAACGGGTATCTGATAGTCGAGGTACTCGACTATAGCGTTGTTCCTTGTTATACCCGTTACTCGCAGAGTAAAAGGGTATACTAGATTCGTCGGAAAGTATGTAACATGCAGAAGGAAGCGTTTCCGACCACATAAAGTATATATATTCTTGATCAGGATCACTAGCCGAGTCGATCTAGCCATGTCCGTCTGTCCGTCTGTCTGTCCGGATGAACGCTGAGATCTCGGAAACTATGAGAGCTAGGCTATTGAGATTTGGCGTACAGATTCCTGAGCTTCTTACGCAGCGCAAGTTTATTTCAGTAGACTGCCACGCCCACTCTAACGCCCACAAACCGCCCAAAACTGTAACTCCTACAGTTTTGATGCTAGATAGAACATTTTAACTGAAATGTATTGTTCTCATCAATACCTATTGATTGACCTAAAACCCACTTAAACGCCCACAAGCTGCGAAAACCTGTGACGCCCACAATTTGCATGCTAGATAACAAATTTTAACTGAAATGTATTGGTGTCGTCAATACCTATCGATTGATCCAAAAATAAATTTGCCACGCCCACTCTAACGCCCATAACGCTTAAATCTGTCTACCGCCGGTAGGTGGCGCATTTTAATCTCTCTTTGCTGCTTGCATATCTCCATTTCCCTTTGAGTAACGGGTATCTGATAGTCGAGGTACTCGACTATAGCGTTCTTCCTTGTTTTTATTTTGCGAAGGTTTACTGAAATGGGCCTTCTTTCCATTTTTAAAAGCCCATAACTTGGTCAAATAAACTCGGATTTCGATATGGCATACCTTTATGGGCTTGTGGAATGATTACGTTGCTATCTGTTTTAAAGGATATAGCTCTAAAGGTAGTACAAAATATTACCGTTTTAATGTCATTGATTTTAATTTTGCGAAGGTTTACTGAAATGGGCCTTTTTTCCATCTTTAATAGCACATAACTTGGTCAAATTAACTAGGATTTCGATACGGCATACCTTTATGGGCTTGTGGAATGATTATGTTGTTATCTGCATTAAAATATAGAACTTGAAGGGTATTAAAAAATATGACCGTTTTTATGTCATTGATTTTTATTTTGGGAAGGTTTACTAAAATGGGCCTTCTTTCCATTTTTAAAAGACCATAACTTGGACTGTAGTGGCGACTGAATAGGCTGTTTTAGTTCATCCTAGAAGTATGCTCCTCTTCAGTATCTGTAAGCCGAGCTTCGTTGCATATCCGAAATTTTGGTGCAATGTTATCGGGGTAATACCAATGAGAATGGTAATTCATCGAAGGTCAGCCGGCGCAGGGAGTCTTTGGAAAGCTCGACTCAGCTGTGAAACATTTCCGCCAATGGCCCCAGTTACGCCACGCTATTTTTGATTCGGTCTTTTCAAATCAAGCCGTCATTGAGTGCAGATGCACTCACTCTCTATTCCAATAAAATTGGTAACATCCCACGTGTAGCTCAGGCAGGAGATGCAGGAAAGCCCCTGAGATAGGGCCCTAAGTCCGATCGCGAATTCATTTTTTTTAAATCTGTGGAACATTTTTTTTTGGGGCTTAAGAACCCCAAAACCACCAGGTGGGTAAACCTTGTGCTCGATTTTCCCCGCACTTAAAAATGTACAGTGGCCATACAAATTTCGCAGAGCTGCAGAGAAGCAGCCAAATCGGAGAAGCATACGCCAGAGGAGCACCCTGCCGCATCTGAGAAGCATCCGCAAGAGGAGCACCCGGCCGCATCTGAGAAGCATCCGCAAGAGGAGCACCCGGCCTCATCTGAGAAGCATCCGCCAGAGGAGCACCCTGCCGTAGAGCGCACGCCAGAGGAGCACCCTGTCCACACAGCACACGTCGGGGAAGTAGCCTCTTTGGCCGCATCTGAGAAGCATCCGCCAGAGGAGCACCCTGCCGCAGAGCATCCGCCAGAGGAGCGCCCTGCCGCAGAGCGCACGCCAGAGGAGCACCCTGTCCACACAGCACACGTCGGGGAAGTAGCCTCTTTGGCCGCATCTGAGAAGCATCCGCCAGAGGAGCTCCCTGCCGCAGAGAATCCGCCAGAGGAGCACCCTGCCGCAGAGCGCACGCCAGAGGAGCACCCTGTCCACACAGCACACGTCGGAAAAGTAGCCTCTTTGGCCGCATCTGAATTTGAGAAAATTCTAGGCCATATTTTTTTTTTTGTGAGAGAGAGATATTCGCGATGTAGAATGCCGGGATGATAATCAGAAAAGTTTTCTTCCAATCGTTTGCACTCGCCAAGAAAAGTGAAAGTATTTTAACCCATAGGGCGGTATGAAACGCCTGATTTTTTTTCAGCATGTACGTTGAACGGAAGATCGATCTTTCGCCGATGGAAATCTGAGTGAGTTGTCTTTGTTTAATTTACATTCGCATTCGAATGGTATCTGACTCTATGGTTGAAACTTTTGTTTGGTCTTGGGCGAGATTTAATAGACACCAATTACAAAAAAAAAAAAAAACAAATAATTAAGGAAAAGGAAAACAATATTAATTATAATATATTTTACTGGATATTTCAATATTAAATTAATATTCGTAGTTCGTCAATTCTATACCTTGAGAAGAAATTAACTCGGGTCATTTAAACCAATCTAATTAAACCTATAAAAAAAAATTGTGAAAATTGTGGGAAAAAATTATACATGAAAAAAAAAGAACACCGACAATGAAGTTGTTATCTTAAACATATTCTTGGGTTTTAAGCACGCTTACCAAAATTATATACATACGAAATTTATGCCTATACCTGAAAATGTTTTTACTGAAAAATTATAATGAATTTTCTTTTTGCTTATATTACTATTACACTCTATATTATTATTATAAACCTGATTTACTATATTTTCTTTGATAATATTAAGATCTTTTGAATATTGTCATTAAAAATGGAAACTTAAAAGAAACGTGTTGCTGAACTGAGCTGATGATTCCACGGTCGTAGGGAAAAAGGGGTCACCAGAGCCATGCTCTAGAGGAAGGCGACCTAGGGTGGGCGATAAGCGGGCGCAATTACACCAGCGGCCACGCAAATAGTTACATCCCTCTTTCTTTAAACTTTGCTTTACATGCTGTTTTTTTCCTTTCTTTTTTTTTGGAATTTGGTTTATCGTTCTTCCGATTTATATGACTAGCTCCTTTCAATGTCGCAAGCACGCTCAATTTCTTGTGATGTTAATAATAATGTGTGCATCGTAACTAAATCTGTGAGAGCAAGACCTCCACCCCAAAGCCACGAGCTAGCGCCGGACCTACAGCGTGCCACGCCATCACAGATCCTTTCGAAAATTAGTCACTTAATTATAATTAATTATTATTAATATCAAAGGTGGCGCCCAACGTTAGGGCCTTAGTGAGTTTACTCATTAAGCCTCATGGATAAACCAATTCGACTCTTTTTCATTTTTTATTTTTTTTCCTTCTCCTCATCTCAAGGGTTTTTAGTAAATTTTAAATTTTTCTCGGAAATCAAAACTGTATAATTATTATTATTATTTTTTTTTGACCGAAAATCAAGAATTATCAAAGAAACCTTCCTAAATTTAGCAGAGAAAACATGGTACTTAACAAGCTGAGGAAAACGGGAAGAAAACATACGCACTTAGGTCGATTTCTGTCCCGGTTTGAAATGCCATTACTTACTTACTTAAATAAAATCACAAACTAAGCTAAACGGAAAATGCCGGCGTTGCTTGAGAGAAGCGTCACATCCACAAGTAGTTTATGACAATTATTATTCTTTCACAGGGGCACTATAATTTATTCGGGATCTGGAATACATGTGAGATGTTTTCCGAAAAGTCACTGTCCGATACCGGAATAAAGTAAATTAGCGTCCCCCTCCTTTAGGCCAGGATTGCGCCTTTCTATATCTTTTCTCATTTCTAAGGATGGTAACAAGAAAAATACCCTTCGATTCGTGTGACATCAAGCAATCAGTTCAGTAAACAAATTTTTTATTTTTTATCTTATCGCAAAGTTACGATCGTTGTAAATTTTTTTCGTTTTAATTTTATTACTGCGGTTAGTTAACTGTGGTCGGATTATTTAAGGATACATTTGTTCGGACAAGGAGATAGTCTCGCTAGAAAATGGGGTTAGACCGATCTCCGGAAAGGGACGCTGAGAACAGCTCAAATTCACTCTGTCCTATATGCAAAGGCGAGATTAGCGGTGTCGATGGTTATAGAACAGCGTGTCAACATGAATTTCATAAGAGATGCATAGAGGGTCACTGGAAGAAAAGTATACAGTGTCCGGTGTGCAAAAGTTCCTGTAGGCCCAAAGTCCCAAAGGTCTCCGATAATGCGGAGCGGGAAACGCGTAGTCAATCAAGGAACCGTCCACTCGTCGAGAATATTGAAAGAGAAGTTGCGGACAATACAGCCTCTACGTCAGGACTTAATGCAAGTACCAACAGCAGCGGCAACAGCAATACAAGTGTTATTAATGCTAATGCCATCACCTTATTGGCAATGGAACGCAGATTACTAGCGACTCTATCGGAAAGGATGGCGGAATTAATCCAAAGTTCTGTATCTGATATCGTAACCAGGGTGAGAGCAACTCAAAGCCCAGAGGCTTATAATAGCCAGGGTGAGCAGTCTTCTCAACAGACTATTAGAGACGTTAATAATAGGGCCAACGCGAGTAGGGGAACTGATGATAATCTACGGGATGTCAGAATGACTTCGGTTTCAACTGCTTCGCATCAAAGTTCCACATCCGATTTATTGAGCCGTCCTGATAAAGTGGTACATATTCTGAACGGATGGAAGATTAAATATTCCGGAGGAGGAGTGCCAGTGGACAATTTTATTTACCGAGTTGAAGCACTGACTAGGGAAACGTTAGGAAATAATTTTTCCGTGCTCTGTAAGAACGCATCTGTTCTGTTTGAAGGGAAAGCCAACGAGTTCTATTGGCGATATCATAAAGCACATGGTGAAGTCCGTTGGGATAATTTCTGTTCAGCTCTACGTCTGCAGTTTAGACAAAATAGAGATGATGGGGATATCGAGGAGTTAATCAGGAATACAAAACAAAAGCCGAATGAAACTTTCGATTGCTTTTACGACAATATATCTGATTTAGTCGATCAGCTAGAGCAGCCGTGGGCGCCGAACAAACTGGTAAGAGTCCTTAAGAACAACTTACGTACGGAAATAAGGCATGAGCTCCTGAATCTGGATATTAAAACAGTTTCAGACTTGAGAGATATTTGTCGAAGGCGCGAAGTTTTTTTGGCTGATGCTAAGCGATACCAGGGGTACATAAGAAACACGCCATTTAAGCGCGACGTTTCAGAGTTTGCTGAAACCTCAGAAAGTCTTCAGGAAACGGAATCTGAAAATGAAGGGGATATCTCTGCGCTTGCACTGTCATGCTGGAATTGCCGCAAAGAAGGGCACCGGTATCAGGACTGCGTGACCGAGAGAAGAATATTTTGTTACGGCTGTGGAGCCGCCAATACATATAAACCTAGTTGCAGCAAGTGCTCAAAAAACTCAAAACCCGGCACTTCGAGGTCGCTTGTCAAACAGAAACCCTCGAGTGCCGTTCGAAGCCAAGCAACGATGACCGACTAATAGAGGAGGCAGCTCTGGTAGCAGCACTCCCCAACCCAGACGAACAAAGACCGGCTATTAATTCGTTACTTCATAGTAAAATACCTGACTTATGAAGCTAGATATCTCGGAATGCAACTTTCAATCAGACTCAAAGATACGTCGATCCCGAAGTTCTCGTCGGATAAAGGCGTATTGGGAGAACATAAAAATATGCAACGTTGGGGTCCAGTACATTAATTCAATTCCGGCTGGGCAGAAGGATCCTCGCCCATTTTTACCAGTTCAAGTGTTCAATCGTACTGTCTATGGCTTATTGGACTCGGGAGCTTCGATTAGTTGTGTTGGTGGGAGGTTAGCGGAGGAGATAAAAGCTAGCGGTTATTATAAAAAGATAAAAGGTCATGCTACCACGGCAGATGGAAGATCGCAGCAGATACTGGGCCATTTGAAAGTCGAAGTAGAATACATCGATAAGAAAAGTACCGTAAAGCTTTATGTGGTACCATCGCTGAAGCAGGATTAGCTTATGTGGTACCATCGCTGAAGCAGGATTTATATCTGGGTATAGATTTCTGGAGGCTGTATGACTTGCTTCCTAAAAATATAAGCATATCTGAATTAGAATCGTCGCAAAGTAACGCTAAAGCGGAGGTTGATCAGCATAAATTGTCTGAGAGTGATCGAACCAAGCTAGCGAATGTAATAAATTGTTTTCCGTCATTTAAACAAGAAGGGCTCGGTAAGACCAACCTGATATCGCATTCGATTGATGTGGGAACGGCCAAACCAATTAAACAACGCCATTTCCCCGTCTCCCCAGCGGTCGAAAAGGCCATGTACACCGAAATCGACCGAATGATAGCATTGGGAGTAATAGAAGAATCCGAAAGTTCATGGTCATCCCCTATCGTAATGGTAACCAAACCTGGCAAAGTAAGGATTTGTTTGGACTGTAGGAAGGTGAACAGTTTCACCGAGAAAGATGCTTACCCACTTCCTCAAATCAGTGGGATCTTAAGTCGGTTACCAAGAGCTGAGTATATTTCAAGCCTGGATCTAAAGGACGCTTATTGGCAGGTGCCTCTAGAGGAATCATCCCGCGACAAAACAGCATTCACAGTCCCAGGCAGACCTCTCTACCAATTTAAGGTAATGCCGTTCGGGCTTTGTAACGCCACAAGCACAATGTCCCGACTAATGGATAAGGTGGTACCAGCCCATCTCCGCAATGAGGTGTTTATTTATCTTGACGATTTATTAGTAGTTTCTTCCACATTTGAACGGCATCTCGAAGTACTGAGAGAACTGGCCTTGCAAATTAAACGGGCAGGTTTGACTCTAAATATTGGTAAAAGTCATTTCTGTATGCTACGCGTTCGATATTTGGGGCACATCATAGGCGACGGTGGAATCCGGACGGATCCCGAAAAGGTGGCAGCAATCAAAAATTTTCCTGTCCCTAAAAGTCTGCGAAGCTTGAGAAGTTTCATGGGCTTGTGTGGATGGTATCGAAAGTTTGTGCCAAATTTTGCTACACTCGCTACCCCTTTGACCGACTTAATGACCACAAAACGAAAGTTTAGTCTAACTGACGAAGCTAAAAAAGCCTTCGAGGAACTGAAGCAACGCCTAAGCGAAGCCCCAGTTTTGTGTAGCCCCGATTTCTCGAAACCGTTCGCAATGCACTGCGATGCGAGTAAAACGGGGGTAGGCGCTGTGCTTGTACAAACATCCGAAGAAGGAGATGAACGTCCGATTGCCTTCATCTCCAAGAAGCTAAACAAGGCCCAACGCAACTATACTGTAACCGAGCAAGAATGTTTAGCGGCCATCGTAGCTCTCAAAAGTTTCAGGGCATATGTTGAAGGAATGGAATTCACAATCATAACGGATCACGCCTCATTAAAGTGGTTGATGTCCAACCATGACCTGAATTCCCGGTTGGCACGATGGGCGTTGGCTTTGCAAAGGTACAACTTTAAGATTGAGCATCGCAAAGGCTCCCTTAACGTTGGTCCCGATTCGTTGTCTCGCGTCAACGAAGACGTGATAGCCGCTGTAGATTTACGGGAAGGACTCCTGGTGGACTTGGATTCTGAAGAGTTTAAGAAAGCAGAATATGTGGATCTAGTAGAAAAAGTAAAAGCAAATCAAGCTAACTTTCCTGACCTCAAAGCAGATAATGGCTATGTGTATCGGAAATCTGAGCATTCTACAGGGGAGCAAATCCACGATGATTACGCGTGGAAACTCTGGATACCGAAGGAACTAGTGCCAGAAATCCTTAAGAGAGCACACGATGGTTCTATGTCTTGCCACGGTGGCATACATAAGACCATAGAGAGAGTGGGCGTTATTATTTTTGGCCTGGCCTGGTGCCAGATGTAAAGGCATACATTAACGCTTGCGAAGTGTGCAAAACGACAAAAGCGCCGAATTATACACTGCGACCGCCATTAGGAAAAGCACCGGAAAGTCAACGGTTTTTCCAAAGATTGTTCGTAGACTTTCTTGGGCCATACCCTAGATCAAGAAGCGGGAACGTGGGAATTTTTATCGTTCTAGACCATTTTTCCAAATACGTATTCCTTAAACCAGTTAGGAAGATTGACACCAGTGGGGTCACAAAATACTTGGAAGGGGAACTGATCATGGCATATGGAGCTCCGGAAACCGTGGTGTCAGACAACGGATCACAATTTCGTTCTCACGCTTTTCGGAAATTGATGCAGCCGTATGGCATCACACACACATTAACGGCGGTGCATTCACCGCAAGCTAATGCTTCCGAACGTGTTAATCGCTCCGTGATTGCTGCGATCCGAGCATATGTGCGACCAGACCAGAAGGACTGGGACGAACACCTAAACAGGATATGTTGTGCATTGAGGTCCTCCGTTCATGCTAGTTTGGGAACTTCTCCATATTACATGGTTTTTGGACAGCATATGATAACATTCGGTTCTACGTACTCACTGTTAAGGAAATTAAATTTACTTGATGATCGTTCACTAAAATTCAATCGTCAGGACTCATTTGAGATTGTCCGAGATAAAGCATGTAAGCGTATGTTGGAACAGCACGCCGAAAACGAGAAGCGCTTTAACCTTCGGTCTCGAAACGTCTCATTCGTGGAAGGACAAGAGGTGTATCGCCGGAACTTCAAACAAAGCTGCTTCCAGACAGGATACACTGCCAAATTCGGACCTTCCTTTGTAAAGGCAAGAGTTCGCAAGAAGCAGGGAAGCGCGTATTATGAACTGGAAGACTTACAAGGCACACTTGTAGGTACCTATCACGCCAACGATATTCGGCATTAATGCCTCTTCAGTCGGTATCAGTCTAGGGTACCAGGGATAGTATACCCTAGCCTGATTGTTTGGGGGGCTTTGTAGTGGCGACTGAATAGGCCGTTTTAGTTCATCCTAGAAGTATGCTCCTCTTCAGTATCTGTAAGCCGAGCTTCGTTGCATATCCGAAATTTTGGTGCAATGTTATCGGGGTAATACCAATGAGAATGGTAATTCATCGAAGGTCAGCCGGCGCAGGGAGTCTTTGGAAAGCTCGACTCAGCTGTGAAACATTTCCGCCAATGGCCCCAGTTACGCCACGCTATTTTTGATTCGGTCTTTTCAAATCAAGCCGTCATTGAGTGCAGATGCACTCACTCTCTATTCCAATAAAATTGGTAACATCCCACGTGTAGCTCAGGCAGGAGATGCAGGAAAGCCCCTGAGATAGGGCCCTAAGTCCGATCGCGAATTCATTTTTTTTAAATCTGTGGAACCTTTTTTTTTGGGGCATAAGAACCCCAAAACCACCAGGTGGGTAAACCTTGTGCTCGATTTTCCCCGCACTTAAAAATTTACAGTGGCCATACAAATTTCGCAGAGCTGCAGAGAAGCAGCCAAATCGGAGAAGCATACGCCAGAGGAGCACCCTGCCGCATCTGAGAAGCATCCGCAAGAGGAGCACCCGGCCGCATCTGAGAAGCATCCGCAAGAGGAGCACCCGGCCTCATCTGAGAAGCATCCGCCAGAGGAGCACCCTGCCGCAGAGCGCACGCCAGAGGAGCACCCTGCCGCAGAGCGCACGCCAGAGGAGCACCCTGTCCACACAGCACACGTCGGGGAAGTAGCCTCTTTGGCCGCATCTGAGAAGCATCCGCCAGAGGAGCACCCTGCCGCAGAGCATCCGCCAGAGGAGCGCCCTGCCGCAGAGCGCACGCCAGAGGAGCACCCTGTCCACACAGCACACGTCGGGGAAGTAGCCTCTTTGGCCGCATCTGAGAAGCATCCGCCAGAGGAGCACCCTGCCGCAGAGAATCCGCCAGAGGAGCACCCTGCCGCAGAGCGCACGCCAGAGGAGCACCCTGTCCACACAGCACACGTCGGAAAAGTAGCCTCTTTGGCCGCATCTGAGAAGCATCCGCCAGAGGAGCACCCTGCCGCAGAGCGCACGCCAGAGGAGCGCGCACCGGAGTAGCCCCGCCGTAAGAGGAAGCCTGCCGGAGGAGCAGCCCCATCGGAGAAGCACCCGCCGGAGAAGTGCCCAAAAGACCGCTGCCTGACGCGCGCGCATCGCTCGTTCGCTTAGCCGTCAGAGGAGCCGTTTAGATTCCCCGGTTGGCGTCGTCATTGCGTGAGCCACTGGGGCTTGACCCATTGGTGCCAGGGACGATCGACTAGCCCCAGACAACTAGTGTAGAAGAGGAGCGGCTTCCGACAGTTAACCAATTGCACAAGACAGAAAATTCTAGGCCATATTTTTTTTTTTTGTGAGAGAGAGATATTCGCGATGTAGAATGCCGGGATGATAATCAGAAAAGTTTTCTTCCAATCGTTTGCACTCGCCAAGAAAAGTGAAAGTATTTTAACCCATAGGGCGGTATGAAACGCCTGATTTTTTTTTCATGTACGTTGAACGGAAGATCGAATTTACATTCGCATTCGAATGGTATCTGACTCTATGGTTGAAACTTTTGTTTGGTCTTGGGCGAGATTTAATAGACACCAATTACAAAAAAAAAAAAAAAACAAATAATTAAGGAAAAGGAAAACAATATTAATTATAATATATTTTACTGGATATTTCAATATTAAATTAATATTCGTAGTTCGTCAATTCTATACCTTGAGAAGAAATTAACTCGGGTCATTTAAACCAATCTAATTAAACCTATAAAAAAAATTGTGAAAATTGTGGGAAAAAATTATACATGAAAAAAAAAAGAACACCGACAATGAAGTTGTTATCTTAAACATATTCTTGGGTTTTAAGCACGCTCACCAAAATTATATACATACGAAATTTATGCCTATACCTGAAAATGTTTTTACTGAAAAATTATAATGAATTATTCTTTTTGCTTATATTACTATTACACTCTATATTATTATTATAAACCTGATTTACTATATTTCTTTGATAATATTAAGATCTTTTGAATTTTGTCATTAAAAATGGAAACTTAAAAGAAACGTGTTGCTGAACTGAGCTGATGATTCCACGGTCGTAGGGAAAAAGGGGTCACCAGAGCCATGCTCTAGAGGAAGGCGACCTAGGTAGGGTGGGCGATAAGCGGGCGCAATTACACCAGCGGCCACGCAAATAGTTACATCCCTCTTTCTTTGAACTTTGCTTTACATGCTGTTTTTTTCCTTTCTTTTTTTTTGGAATTTGGTTTATCGTTCTTCCGATTTATATGACTAGCTCCTTTCAATGTCGCAAGCACGCTCAATTTCTTGTGATGTTAATAATAATGTGTGCATCGTAACTAAATCTGTGAGAGCAAGACCTCCACCCCAAAGCCACGAGCTAGCGCCGGACCTACAGCGTGCCACGCCATCACAGATCCTTTCGAAAATTAGTCACTCAGTCGAACGTTACACGTTACAGGACAAATGAACTCGGATTTTTATGTGGCACACATTTTTGGGCTTGTGGGACTATTATGTTGTTATATGTATTAAAATATATAACTTTTAAGGTATTATAAAATATAACCTTTAAAATCAATAATTTTACGAAGGTTTAAAGAAATGGGCCTTCTTTCCATCTTTAAAACCCCATAACTTGGCCGAAAGGACTCCGATTTCGATATGGCATACCTTTATGTGCTTGTGGAATGATTATACTGTTATCCGCACTTAAACATTAAACTTTAAGGGTAGTTAAAAATATTACCGTTTCATGTCATTGGTTTTAATTTTGCGACGGTTTACTGAACTGGGCCTTCGTTCGATTTTTAAAAGCCCATAACTCGGATGGTCAAATGAACTCGGATTTCGATATGGCATACCTTTTTGGGCTTGTGGAGTGATTTTGTTCTAATCTGTATAAAAAAAAACCTTAAAGGTAGTAAAAATATGACCGTTTTTATGTCATTGATTTTAATTTTGCGAAGGTTTACTGAAATGGGCCTTCTTTCCATCTTTAAAAGCCCATAACTTGGTCAAAAGGACTCGGATTTCGATGTGGCATACCTTTATGTGCTTGTGGAATAATTATACTGTTATCCGCTTTTTAACATTTAACTTTAAAGGTAGTTAAAAATATGACCGTTTTTATGTCATTGATTTTGATTTTGCGAAGGTTTACTGAAATGGGCCTTTTTTCCATCCTTAAAATCCCATAACTTGGTCAAATGAACTCGGATTTCGATATGGCATACCTTTATGGGCTTGTGGAATGATTATGTTGTTATCTGCTTTAAAATATATAGCTTTAAAGGTAGTAAAAAATATGACCGTTTGTATATCATTGATTTTAATTTTGCGAAGGTTTACTAAAATGGGCTTTCTTTTCTTCTTTAAAAGCCCATAACTTGCCCAAATGTGCTTTTGGAATGATTATACTGTTTTCCGCACTTTAACATTCAACTTTAAAGGTAGTACAAAATATAACCGTTTTTAGGTTTACTGAAATGGGCCTTCTGTCCATTTTTAAAAGCCCATAACTTGGACAAATGAACTCGGACTTTGATATGGCATACCTCTATGTGTTTGTGGAATGATTATACTGTTATCCGCACGTAAACATTCAACTTTAAAGGAGTACAAAATATAACCGTTTTTAGGTTTACTGAAATGGGCCTTCTTTCTATTTTTAAAAGCCCATAACTTGGTCAAAAGGACTCGGATTTCGATGTGGCATACCTTTATGTGCATGTGGAAAGATTATACTGTTATCCGCACTTAAACATTTAACTTTAAAGGTAGTTAAAAATATGACCGTTTTTATGTCATTGATTTTAATTTTGCGAAAATTTACTAAAATTGGCTTTCTTTTCTTCTTTAAAAGCCCATAACTTGGTCAAATGAACTCGGATTTCGATATGGCATACCTCTATGTGTTTGTGGAATGATTATACTGTTATCCGCACGTAAACATTCAACTTTAAAGGAGTACAAAATATAACCGTTTTTAGGTTTACTGAAATGGGCCTTCTTTCTATTTTTAAAAGCCCATAACTTGGACAAATGAACTCCGATTTTTATATGGCATATCTTTATGGGCTTGTGGAATAATAATGTTGTTATCTGCATTTATATATATAACTTTAAAGGTAGAAAAATATATGACCGTTTTTATGTCATTGATTTTTATTTTCGAAGGTTTACTGAAATGGGCCTTTTTTCCATTTTTAAAAGCTCGAAAACTCGGATTTCGATATGGCATACCCTTATGGGCTTGTGGAAGGATTATGTTGTTATCTGCATTAAAATATATAACTTTAAAGAATTATGTTGTTATCTGCATTAAAATATATGACTTTAAAGGTAGAAGAAATATGACCGTTTTTATGTCATTGATATTAATTTGGCGAAGGTTTACTGAAATGGGCTTTCTTTCCATTTTTAAAAGCCCATAACTTGGTCAAATGAACTCGGACTTTGATATGGCACACCTTTTTGGGCTTGTGGTATGATTTTTTTCTAATCTGTATTAAAATATATAACTTTAAAGGTAGTACAAAATATTACCTCTCTTATGTTATTGATTTTAATTTTGCGAAGGTTTACTGAAATGGGCCTTCTTTCCATCTTTAAAAGCCCATAACTTGGTCAAATAAACTCGGATTTCGAAATGGCATACCTTAATGGGCTTGTGGAATGATTATGTTAAAATAGTAAAAAATATGACGTTTTTATGTCATTGATTACAATTTTGCGAAGGTTTACTGAAATGGGCCTTCTTTCCATCTTTAAAAGCCCATAACTTGGTTAAATGAACTCGGACTTTGATATCGCATACCGTTTCGGGATTGTGGTATGGTTTTTTCTAATCTGTATTAAAATATATAGCTTTAAAGGTAGTAAAAAATATGACCGTTTTTATGTCATTGATTTTTATTTTGCGAAGGTTTACAGAAATGGGCCTTCTTTTCTCCTTTGAAAGCCCATAACTTGGTCAAAAGGACTCGGATTTCGCTATGGGACACGTTTATGGGCTTGCGGAATGATTATGTTGTTATCTACATTTAGATATAAAAATAATATAAAAAATATGACCGTTTTTATGTCATTGATTTTTATTTTACGAGGGTTTACAGAAATGGGCCTTCTTTCCATCTTTAAAAGCCCATAACTTGGTCAAATGAACTCGGATTTCGATTTGGCATACCTTTATGGGCTTGTGGAATTATTATGTTGTTTTAATACAGATAACAATCTGTATTAAAACATAAAACTTTAAAGCTAGTAAAATATATGACCGTTTGTATGTCATTGATTTTAATTTTCGAAGGTTTACAGAAATGGGCCTTCTTTCCATCTTTAAAAGCCCATAGCTTGGTTAAAAGGACTCCGATTTCGATATGGCATACCTTTATGTGCTTGTGGAATGGTTATACTGTTATCCGCACTTCAACATTAAACTTTAAAGGTAGTAAAAAATATGGCCGTTTTTATGTCATTGATTTAAATTTGGCGAAGGTTTACTGAAATGGGCCTTCCCTCCATTTTTAAAAGCACATAACTTCGTCAAATGAACTCGGCTTTCGATATGGCATACCTTTTTGGGCTTGTGGAGTGATTTTGTTCTAATCTGTATAAAAATATATAACCTTAAAGGTAGTAAAAATATGACCGTTTTTATGTCATTGATTTTTATTTATCGAAGGTTTACTGAAATGGGCCTTCTTTCCATTTTAAAAAGCCCACAAATTGGTCAAATGAACTAGGACTTCGATCTGGCATACCTTTATGGGCTTGTGGAATGATTATACTGTTATCCGCACTTAAACATTTAACTTTAAAGGTAGTTAAAAATATGACCGTTTTTATGTCATTGATTTTAATTTTGCCAAAATTTACTAAAATTGGCTTTCTTTTCTTCTTTAAAAGCCCCTAACTTGGTCAAATGAACTCGGATTTCGATATGGCATACCTCTATGTGTTTGTGGAATGATTATACTGTTATCCGCACGTAAACATTCAACTTTAAAGGTAGTACAAAATATAACCGTTTTTAGGTTTACTGAA